CGTGAAATAAAAAAAATAAACTGAAATAATAAACGGTTATAAAAGAAGTATCTGTAGTTAAGTAAACGCGCCTACATATGTGAGGTTGAGGCATTGCTGTGTCCCTACCAAACTTGGCCAGATAATAATCACCATGCAGTTACCCTAGAACACCGTAAAGCTGCAGTAATAAGAACAAAATAAAAAGATAACATCGATACATTTGACCGTGATTGTACAGTCACGTTACTTGACGACTGTGCCGCTTCTCTAGGATTCGCGACAACCGGCGAATTGATCGTGCATAGCGGAGAGGTCGTTTCATTCCTGCAGCACAGCCCCCAAAAATCCTCGGTGTAATATTAATGTATATTGTTCCATAAATGAATTCATTAATCATAATGCCACGCCGATACTGATCAAAAAGTGAGATAAAAACCATGAATGATTTTCGTTCAAATTCCTCGCCACTACATTCACCGATTTCCAGTCACAAATTAGTTCCTTTAGCGCGGTGATGACAACCTCGGTCTCTTTTGAAGACGTCGTAAAAAATCGGTACAAGCATATTCTTTAAAGCTTAATTAAAATCATTTGAGAGAACTTGAGTGATTAAGTACACGTTAAGCTTGAATTAAATTAATATGTTATGATGCGAGCAGCAGAGAATCGGTGAGGAGAGAATTAGAATAATGAAGTGACTTGTGACTGGTCATACGGCCAGGTCAAGTGCTGGTTAGCCTTTATGGAGACACCCTTATTTCAAATGCATGCAAGGACTCTATGATATAATGCGAATTACAATGACTGTGTGTTTCAAAATAGTAACATATTCATGAATAACATTAACCCATGTGCACCCGGTTTCTCTAAAATTACGTATCACTTAGTTCTAACCACTGTATCAAATAAAAACGTGTATGTGAAGTACGGAGGGTTAAAAGAGATACTTTTTCTTCATAAAATCATTATCCTACATTTCATATTATTGCATTTAAAGCAGATAGTCTTATACTTTTTGAATCAAAACCGCAAATTATGCCTCTGTGTAAATGCATAATATTGTAAAAATTATTTTGTGGGCGTAATTTCATAATGTTATGATGTTAGGACGTTTTCCACATACTTTCGTAAATTGTGAAAAATCTGTTCATCGCAATTCTCCACTTCCTATGTGTAGTTTCACTAACAAATGTGCGAACAGAACAACACATTTCTTCTCATTTTTCATTCTCTTATTTTGAATTTAAATGGATTATTACATTACGTTCTGTTTTGGCTTCAACCTGTAATTAGCAGAAATAGTTATATTCGCAAGATTTATTCTCAATAACAATATAGTTAAAGAATTTGTCTTTATCTTTGTACAACTGGCAGCAGCCATACAAACACAACCAAAAATTAAATTATGTTTTTTGGAATTGCATGTCAATCTACACACTTATATTAAGAATATTACATTTGAATTTATATCGATTATACACCTGAAGATTGTTCATTGAAAACCGAAACCGAATGCTCTAATTGTAAATCGAACATTTCGATAGAAAGAGCATCATTTTAATATATTTTAAATATTAAATGTTAATTGTAGTAATAATATTTTAATATTTTAATATTTAATAAAATGTTTTATTGTGATTAGACGGTTAAAATTAAACAATTAAGCAGTAAATTAATTCACAAAGTCATTTCAAGGCCATAATTCCCAAGGGATTCTGAATTGGGAATGAGTTCTATTGCCTTTTCACGACTACACCTGTACCATTTTAGTTCGTTAGTGTGTTCAAATACAAGACGATCGATCTGTTTCTTTTAGCTGGTCACCAAACTGAAGCACAATTTCGCTATAGAAATAAAGGAAAATTCGCCATTTCAATGTTGACATCGGTTTTCGAAGACCTAATGTGCAGAAAATTGTACGTAACTCTGAACATGTCCTAAACAGCAACAACAAAATGTCCTTAATATCTGCGAGAAACCATTTTCCATTACTCGCACATTTTCGAACACCTTGTTACATTTCTCCTGGAGAAATATCGACTCTGATAATTTGTCAGAGAAACAGCAATTAAGTTTCTGTGATAAAATCTTGAGGATATAAGATTTCTCACGCTACTGACGGCAATGGAGACAAAAACCATGGCAGACTGACAACTGAAACGGACGAGGAGACCCAAAAAAACGCAGTTTCGTCTCGGTGACACTATCTTCGCTTTTTAGTTTCATTTTGTATCCTTTCCTTTGGCTAATTCGCTTCTGCAGTTAAGTATAGTCTATGTCTGTAAGATAGACACTGACATCATGGTTCTGATTAATCGTAAGTTAGCGTTGTTATAAGAAGTAGCGTTATTATTTATGACACTTTTTAATTCTTAGGATTGTTAACGAGAATCTTTCAACTGCAGATTAAACAGAGAACGTAAAATAACCAAATAATGTTAAGCTACAGAGCATTCAAAATGTGGTGTCCGTAGCTGAAAGTACTACCTCAAAATTCGCTGCGAATGACTTAGGAAGACAACATAACTTCAGAGTAATCCAGTAGACATTCGAATGGGACATCACCAGAATACAAGTCTATATCGTTGCCATTTTAGCAACTTGTTCATTAATTTAAGGTATTATAATATAATTTTCTTGGTAACAACTCCGCGGAACAGAGCTTCTCTTGAGAAAACTAATAGTCGCTCAGCTGCTAAAAAAATCCCGCGTCTTTTGTTCACATGAATCCGCCAATGAAACTGACTGACTTCTGAGATGTTGTTCCGTGCAGTCTGGTAGAAGTTTTCGACGTTTTAGAGAGGTGTTTGTGGCCTTTATCGTCACGAAGCTCTAAAACGTCTATGAAGTGTTATCAGGTTACACGGAGCAACATTTCAGAAAGCAGTAATAATCCTCACACTCGCCACTGTGAGAACCTAAATCCGCCACTGGTCCCTGTCCTGAGCCTTATAATTCCAGTCTTCAACGGCGTATTTTATTTCTTTAGTCGATTACCTAATTCTTGAGTTAGAGAGGGGGAGAAGCCTTTTGAACCTAAGTTGCCTGTAGATGCTTATAGACCACTGATGAACAGAAAGAAGGTAGACCAAGTGTTAGGACTATGGATAGAAATAAGCATCGTTGTTTAGAAGCGTAGTGTTGTATTTTTGTTTCAAACAAGTGAATATTATTAGACGTTAAAGGTAAAAGTCTGAAGCAGCTGCTCTTAAATGCTGTTCCTGGCGGGATAAAAATTTTGCTTGTCTTGTTTAGTGTAAGAGTAGCATTTAAGAAATTAATCTACGTTGAGAGGAAATATATACCAACATGATTATTCTTACTGTAAACTTTCTTCCGTCTTTTTTTTTTATTTCAGAATGAAGGTTCTGGTTTTTAAGTAGATATATCAGACATTGGCACTCCTTGATTTACTGTTTAAATATTGTAAGGAAACGCACAAATAAGTTATGAATGTTTAAATTTGGTTTCGTGCCACTTATCCTTGTAAAGCATCACCAAGATGTCTGTAGTTGGGGTCCCACACGCCAGCTTCGTATGATAAAAGATCGACTGTTTACTCTTTTCGGGTAAAAGCCGAGGCTCAAAAAGTTACTTCGCGTGCTTTCTTTGTGCGATTGACAGGGTCCGTGACTTTCAAGGTGGACTGTGCCCTTCCAACAATAGGTGTTTATCAGTTTCAATATTCTTCAACGTCATATGGTATTCTGACCCGACCTTTCGTTTAGGATTTGTTTCATTTTCTAAAGAAATGGGCAGAGGGTTTGATGGTTTAGGCCTGAGAGTCTGCAACCACGCCACTTGATTTCTTTCACGTAAAGGAGAGGGGCCTAGATTAAAGAAAACAGCAAACCCACCAGCAAAGATTTTAAACAACGACAAAATTCTGGTATTTGCTATAAGCCAGGACCATCCAAGAAGTCCGATCTATACGGTCGTAGTTTGTCCTTTTAAGAACAAATTTAAACTAAACTAAACTAAACAATAACGTTCACGGCCTATAATTAATAAGTTAAATTGTATCCACCAGTATTTCTCTGTGCGATTTTGAAGGTATTAAATTCTAAGCGCCTGTAAGAATATCTTGGTTTACTGTCACGTTTTACACTCTACAGAAAAAGCATCTGGATTCAAAACCATTTACGTTAAGCGTATTTTTAGACTCATTGTTTTAGTTCCAAGCGATGAGAGTAAAATCCTGGTTAAATTCCAAGAATCTGTTTAACTCACACATACCAATGCACTTTCTTTATGTATTTCGATAAATTCTTATCAAGCCTGGTATAATGTACATCACCTTGACGACAGGCCTACGTAAGTTCAAGTAATAGCCCAATGCAACAGCGCAGTTAAACAGCGCAATCAGTGTTCATGTCTGCGCAATCTGAGCTTCAGCGTCATAAGGAATTACACACAACGACAAGGGATAGCCACAGTGATT